CTGAGTTGGATGTCCCTTGACCTCAGAAAGGCTCCAAAATAATAGTTTTGACTAGACTAGCTTAAACTAACAATGAGGCTGCCAAAGGTGGGGAAATTAATCCCATCCACAGTATGCACAGCAAAGCCAAAGAAATATTTACACATCATTGCCTTTCCTAGATATTGTTATCCTGAATCTTGTTTTCCAGATGATGTAAATCCAGATGATGTAAATCATCATGACTCTATGGACATAAGCTAGCCAAAAGAATAGCCAAAAGTTTCTGTGCTAATACCAGTTGTTTTTCTAGTTTGGCATAGTTTTTAGAAATTGTGTTGAAATGTTATTTAAATTAAAAGGGAAATGGCTCATTGCTAGATTAGATTTCTGTTAAAAGAATCTCTGACCTAAAAGGTGCTATAACCTTTTACAGGCAGAAATAAATGTGTTGAGAATAGTTGAAAATGCCAGCTTCTTTCAGCCTTAAAAAATCTCTATGAATGCAACACAACATTGCTAGTTAAATACAAATGTCTACTCTGTCTAGAGCATCCACTCCAAATGAAAATGTGTTCTCTGTATCAAAGCAAGCTCTGTTAAAGAATATATTAACCAAAGGCCAAGTGACTTTATTCATAATGAAGCTATTTGACAGGAAAAATTTAATCAATTAAATGGAGGAAGCACATTAAGATCAAATGGCTGGGGCTGGGAGTGATTTGGGGGTGTGTTGGGGGAAGGCTGCAGCCATGCCCTTCTCCATTTTGCAGCTTCTTAATAATATTATTTGTATTATTCAAAGGTTTCTGGATGTTTATTAGAGTGGAGTTGAGTTTGGAAAAAAGAGGAGGAAGGCTGTGAGACAAAGAAATGTGGGAGTAGAGGGGTCAGTGAAGAAGAAACAATAAGGTCTCTAAGACCTTATTGTAAACGTAAAATAAACATTTTTAACCTTCTCACCTTTCATGGTTGGAGATGCTGAAGTGTTCTGTAAAGTCTCTGTGTGTAGCCTGGATGGAGAAGGCAACAGGTGACCAGCATGCAGTGTACCTGCAGGAAAGAGAGCAGATTTTTCTACAGGTTACAAGACAACTCTTTACTCTTACAAGTCTAACTGACCTCTTTGTCCAATGCTGTGATATTATTTTCACGTATTAATAGATTTTTAAGGCCAGTGGGGAATATGATGAACATCTTGTCTGAACTCTTGCAACAACAGCCAAAGGATTCAACCCCGTAAGTCCTGCCAATAGTCTCTGATTGAGCAACAGCCTCTTTGAGAACGTTGTCGGCTTTTTCCAGTGACTGATGTTAGAGAGGAAAAAGTTCCTTTGAGTAGACAAAATCTTATCTATCATGTTCTGATGTTTATCCAGGGCTTAACATTGTGAGGGAATGATCGGTGCAGCTGGTAAAAAGCAGCTCTGTTCTTCACCAACTATTGTATATTCAGGCAGGATTCATCAGGCTGCAGCTCCAGCCTGCTGAATCTCTCCCCAGCTTCAGTATTAGCTAACTCACTTCCAGCTGCCTCAGAAACCTACTGAGTTCCTGGCATATATAGGTTTTAAGGAGACAAGGATAAAATTCTTAGTATAAAGAGAAAAATAATACACCAAATGTTGAGGGTAGAGGCTGTGCCATACAGAGTGACACCAGAAGCCCAAGTCATTTGCACTTTTTTAATGTGTTTTGATTTTCTTCACTGTTGCACAGAATGCTGGTGCATCGGTAGCACAAAGAAAGCAATTCCTAGTGGCACTACAGCTCCGTACATCAAGCTGTCTGAGTACCTGGAGACAGATGCCTACTGTTTATTAAGCAGCACTATGAAGTGATTCAATTCAGAGCAGCAATGTTCTGGTGTGGAGGATGGAGGGAGTTGTGAAATGTTTTCTTTTAATTTATTTGGTGGCAGGGGAACTTGGTAAAAACCAATTTATAAATTCGGTAGGTATCCAATCTGTTTTTGTCATCTGGACAACTAAAAGCCATAAATACAGAATAACACTATTCTGACAGTGAATTATACTTCCTTTGCCATTACTCTGAGCAGTTGTGGAGCCCAAGAGCTTTGCTGACACGAGAGAGTTATACAGGTTCCCCAAAGTAGTTTAGTCATCTACCGTTACCACAAGGCATGAGATTTTTCTTTTTTCCCTTTGGTTCAATCTATGTTACAATTTCTTAGTTGAAAGAAACTAGAAAAGGGCAAAGGAGAAGCATAGTTGTGTCTTTAGATGGATTTCAATGTATTCTGGGAGCACATGAGGTAAAAACTTTCAGCTGGCCTAAGCCTCCACACATATCTTGTAGGACCGTCTAACTTTTGTTTCAACTCCCTTGAAGTTTTTTGGGAACAAGGAATACTATTGCTTCATCTGTTGGTTTTATCCAGCATTTTGTGAGAATTTTTCACCTCTTTCGATATCTTGGACCTTTTATGGCCCTTTTATGATAGTATTTTAGCTCATCACTGCCTTCATCTTCATTTCATATGTGCAGGTCTCAGTCAAAGAGGAGATAACTAGAGTGGAGTCTCTCAGGAAACATCCAGCAAAGTGCTGGATGTGTCCTTTACAAGTGCCCTAACAAAAGGAGCTTCCTTCAATTCTGTTCACCCCATGTTCAGTAAGATAATGGAACTACACAATTTCTTCAGTTTCTTTCTCCTCAAGGAAATAATAAGCCAGAGAGAAAAAAGCATTGTCCCAGTGGATCTGAGAGACAGATCGCTGCTAAGCAGAAGAAATAGCTGCAACAACAAAACACTGATTTCTGAGGTGCTTCTGTGCTCCAACTAGTATTTTACATGGATTATATGCCAAGTCATTATTTAGGCAAACTGGATATTCTGCATTGCAACTTCAAATGGGAGAATCACCAAGGCACCTGCTCCGTGTTTGTCTGATGGAATAGGGAAACTTGATGTGAATAAAAGAAGAAGGGATATTGGCCTCGCACTGGCCATCCCTGGAGCATGTGTTTGAGCAGTGCGACTGTGGTAAGAGCCACCACAACGCACTCTGTGGGCTGCATAAGAGGGATTTAATGGGGTTTTTTCTGCCTTCTCCAACAGATGTGTTGACAATCTATAAGTGTATGGCTCTCATTCACAGGAGTTATTTGCCCCCAAGAGCATTAATGCAATTTTCAGGCAGTTCCCTAACCCCCATTTCTCTCATTTCTTAAATATATGTGTTTCCTCGAGAGAAAAGGGTAATAACCCTCTGGAACAGAAACGGATGGAATTCAGCCCAGTCAAAACCAATCAGAGCCTTCAGATATGAGGTTTATATACTTCATTTAAATGATCTGCTAATGAACATGAGCAGAAACACAGAGCAGTGTTGGTCATAGGGAATTCACTGACATTCATTCACTTTGATTTTTTTTCTCCCTTCTCTGTTGGTGCCCACATTATTCTGACAAAAGTGGTTTTTTTACTTGGGTTTTTTGATTACTTTTTTTTAATCAAAGACATTATTGACTTCTTATTGCTTTGTGGAGAGAGACTGAATAATCAAAGCTGCTTCTATCTGCAACATATAAAATTATTCAAGTTAACATTGCAGATGCTAGGGAAGTGGGGACTAGGAATGCCTCACAGAGTCTGGAAATCTCTCCTCACCCACACCAGGAGAGTCTTTTGTACTTGGAGGCCTCATGAGTGTGAAAGCTTGTGTTTGGTGGGTATTAAGGTTGTAAAGGTGGGTTATTTGTAGGTTAGAGCTTTAAGGTTTATCCCCAGAGTGAAAACATTACCTCCTACTTTCCTTACTGGATCCTGCCAACTGTAGAGACTTCACTTTCTTGAGGGTTCAGTGAGTAATCTGATGTGTTGAACAACTCAAAAGAGCATCAAGATAAAAGTGGTCTTAACCATTTCACAGCTAAGTAACGAACAGGAGTAAAAAAGGATGATGTAGACATGATGTGCCTCCGGTAAATCATCAACAAAACTCTGACTTTAAATGTTCACTTTTCAGAAGATAATGCAACTTTTTAAAGGAAAAGAAAGTCCTTATGATTGATGCACTAAAGTAGTGCTCAGGAGACAAGCTAAAAACCTAATTGCTTCCACAGCTTTTATGAGTGTGAGTCATCTGGTATAACTTTACCTACCTGTAAGTTAAATGTTTAATTTACACTGGTTATTCAAGGCCCTTCTGTGAGAGACACGCATTTCTAGTTCATCCAACCTACCCTAAATGATAGCTCTTTCTAAGGTGCTGTATTACTTTCCTATGACAAGAAAGTGAGTCTCTTTCCATTCTTAAGCGATGGTTTCATCTCACTCACCTTCATCATTCCCTTGGCATTCTAGCAGCAAGGACCTTTTTTCCACCTGAGCTTCAGCTTCCCCTCTGGCAGAGTTTTTAGGGATGCATATTTCTGGGGTGAATATACATGACTGGTTACGTACAAAGGCCAGGCTGAAAGCTTGCAATGGAATGGATAGCAGTTACATTTTGTATTTGACTGGTCATTCTTCTTTTTGTAAACTTTAACGTTTTAAATGATGTTTATACAGTGTCCTAGAGCAGGGCCATAAAACCACAGTGTCTCACTTAGAATAATTAAAATTTCTCTTATAACACTCGGGACCCAGAAGAGAAAACTGTTATATGACAAAATTACAATGAGTAATTCTAATTTTTTTCAATGATAGAGTTTAAAATGTAGCAAAATCCCAGTAGCCTGGTTAGCTGATCAGCCTGGGATGCTAGATTGAGAAAGTGACTGATTCCATACTTACTGTTTCTGTATTATGTTTGCAAATAATAGCACAATGCTAAATTTTGTGATCCAGTCTTTGCAGTTCAAGACTTATTAACTCTTTCCATGAACAAACTTACTAGTAGTATCTTGAATAAGGCTGGGCTATCAGTCTTATTTTCTTTTTTTTCTTTTTCGCCCTGTTGTCGCGCTCAACATTATTATAAGCTGTTTTGTGAGCAACTAAAATAAGCAAAATATGATCTTTAATTTTGCCATGCTTTTTTTTTTCCTTTCAGTGGCTGCATCAACTGCTAATTCCACAGCTGGTGCGGCCATGAATTCTCTGACTTCTCTGGGTACTCTCCAAGGACTGGCTGGAGCCACTGTTGGACTGAATAATATTAATGCACTAGCAGGTACCGTAAACAGTGAGTATTTATTGCTGTGGTGGACAGCCTTCCCCAGTAATCATGCCACAAAAACTATCAATTGTAAAGCAATAATGTGATTATTTTTAATCTATATACAAAATAAGGGGGTCAAGTTGATCTAGTTCCATTCATGGTGCATATGCAGTTCTGGAGTCTTTTAGTTTCACGTAGTTTGCTCTGCAAAGTGAAGTCCCTTGGGTCCCTGCACAAAGACTCCTTTTCTTGCAGGGTGTACAGAAGGTAAAAGAAGTGTCACCAGAGATTTGGGTTATCTAGGTTATAGGAGAGGCTCCTTTTTCATTTAGGGAGTCTGACAACAGGTACCTCACCCCAGTATACAAAACCTGACTCAGAAACGGAGTGGTAAGAAAGGTGTTTGCCATGGAAGCAATCTTTTTAAAATGTCTGTGGGAATTACCGAATTTACTTGAGAGCAACATACTTTAAAAATGAAGGCAAACCTTTGGGTTTTCATTGGCAATCATAAGAGAATGATGCAGTCAGTCACCTGTAATACTAGAGCATGCACTTCTGTCCTATGACATCTTAAACAAACCCTGGCATCTCCAGCTAAGTAGATGCCGGTAGTTGTTAGAACATTCTTCCTTGTTCTTAGCCTTGGTCAAGGTTTTCCTGAAGAAGAAATACTTTTTTTTTTTATTGTTTCTGCTATGATGACTTCACCTTTGCCTGCAATGGAAGAGATTTGTCCAGCTGCATTTTCCCCCTCCCTTTTTTTTAGCTGCTGTTGCTCCTTGCATTTTCTTTTGCAATGCAAGGAATCTATTTGGTCATTGCCAGTCCATGACCCATCATAATGTACCCCCAGGAACGGATGTCCTCCTCAGTATCTCTTGCTCACTCTGATGCTCTGCATGATGTCCTTTTTGTCACTGTTACTGGCTGCTCACTTAATCCTTTTGTTGTGTGATCTCTGGTTGTCATTGTTGGGAGTTGGGAAGGAAGGGGGCTAATGAATGTCCATGTAGCAATGTTGAGTGGTTGCATGGGGTCTTGTATAAAACAGGTCTTGCTTCTGGCAAGGACATGTATATTTCACACAAACAACCTCATAGTCAATATGATTCAAAAACAACTTAAGAAAAGTATTAGCTCCCAAAATGGCCAATGTTAGTTTCCTTTCTTACTATTAATTTAGTATTAAAGCAAGCCACTGAAAAATGTCATGCGTGAAAAACTAACTTACCTCCTTTCATGAGCTCTCTTAGTAAGAGAGCTACCCTGTCATAAGTAAGAAATCATTAAACGTTCGTTCCCAATAAACAGTCATTGTGCTTTACTTCGTTTATAAGAAGTCACAATATCAAGAGTGGAGTGTGGCATCCCAGTCCTTCTCTCCCACGAGTACTAAGAACCCAGGCACACTGGAGCACTCCAAGATAATATCCTCTTCATTAGAGCAAGAATTAATCACCTGGGAGCTCTTGACTTTGTGTGGGAACCCTTCTGTTGCACTCCTTTTAACACTTCTTGCTAGGCTACAAGAAAAGAGTTTATGTGTTCTCAGCAAGTATTTTGAGGTGATGTGCAATTCATCTGCATGTGTCATTTGAAGTATTAATGATGTATTCACAACCTAGTACCAAATTTCAACTTGTTTTAAGCCACCATTACTTCCATGGACTTGTGCTAACAGTGGCTTCAATCACAAATCTTCGTGGATGTTTTTATGGACACAGAGATTGTACGTGCCTAGAATATCTATATGTGTACAGCACTTACAAAATGTGTGTGGATATGTCTGTCTACGTATATACATATATATGAGAGAGATCTAAAGAGGGGAAACTGCTTCCCCAGAACACAACACAATGTTGGGGCACTGTTTCTGTCAAAAGAATGACACAGATTATCAATTTTAGGTACTTGTGATCCTAATGAAAGCTAGGCATTGTTCAAACTATAACAGTCTCCCCTATCTCTTTTAAAGATGAGGCAGTGCTTTTCCTAGTGACCATGTCTGATCCAGTTGTTCACACTCAAACCTGCCTAGTTGCCTTCAGGAAACCTCACATTCAATGACTCTGATGTTTCACATTACTCTGTGGTCACAAACGTTCCAGTAGAAACAATCAAACATCATTTGGTCATGCAGGTTTCTGAAGTAATTGTGCAGAGAAGTTGGAATTGAGTGACATGCTTCTAATTGGGAAATAAACAAGCAATCCAAAGCATAAGTCAAATGAAGCCTAACCCAAAAGTTAATCAGAAGGTAGCACTGGGCTTGGGCATTGATTTACACAGAGGTGTTGGAGGAGGTATTCTTCTGTTGAAGCCACATCCTCCTTTGTATGCGAGAATCACGGGAAGAATATCTTCCAAGCTGAGCTCACTAGGAGACTTTTATCTTCTTTCTGGATCCTGGCTGGGTCCATGAAAAAGAAGCTGGGCTGTGGAGACTGCTAATGCTCTCACTGTAGAGAGAAGCATTGTAGAAAAATGTCTGGAGGCCTTAAAAATTAAAGAAAATGGAGGTTGGTAAGGGTTTGGCAACAGTTGTATGTACATGTGGGGATTCACCCAGCCTTCCTTCAGTTGTGCTTGAAGCATCTAAAACCTTAAATGACAAAACATTAGACTGTCTCCTTTGGGCACGTACATTTAAATAGTGTAACTAACAAAAATCATTATGAGTAATGAGGAAAAATTAATTGAGAGAGATTATTTGCAATTAAGAAAAAAGACCATGGTTTCAGGATACTGGACAGCTACGACACAATATTTGTGTGTGAACCCAGGGCAGTCACTTAGCCTTTCTGCCCCCATATTTACATCTGTAAAATGGAGATAAAACTATTTGTGACAGACTTGAAGGTGTTTGGAAAGCACTTTTAAGAGACCTTTGGATTTGCCAAGCATTGTTGCTTCAGTATTATGTGAAGTAACTCAAAGAAGCAAAAGGCCATAGATGAGATACTCCAAAAGGTTATTTCACAGGAGTGAGGAAGGGACCAGAGTTCAATATCAGACTGAGGTGCAATGAGTCTAGAGATAATTATTAGGGATAATAAAGAGATGGCAGAGATGTATAAGTGCAGCTGGACCTTCCAGATTTCATAAAAATATAAAAAGGGAGAAGAGGAAAAAATGTAGTGAGCTTTCTGCAGATCTCTGTTGCTCAGGAAGGAAGTGTATTTAGAGACGTGGACTGTGGTAGCAGTAGCCATGTCCTTCCCAGATGCAGCATGGTGAGCTGGGGCTGTCTGGCTGTTTGCTAATCTGAAATCCTTTGTTGGGAAGAGACTATTGATTCTAGGTGAAGGAAGGGGGAGGATGCTGCCCACTGCAACACAAAGCATGTTTATCTAATAGGCCGATGACTCACGAAAGATAACGTCTTATCCTAATGCTTCCTCTATTATCAAGTTATTTCAACACTATAATAAAAGGAGAGATACAAGCTGTTTTATCAGGAGCCTTTACTTTAACCAGTGCTGTGTGTACACACACACAAGCAATAACACAAACCTAAGTACAAAAACATCAGAGCAGGTTAAAGTCAGGCTCAGAATATTATTATTATTATTGTTGTTGTTGTTACTGTTGTTATTATTATTGTTGTTGTTGTTGTTGTTGTGTTGAATCTGCATTTTCTAAATGTCCTGTCTTTTAGATCAAAGATGCTTCCCAAGCTATCTTAGTTTGCAAGTTTTTGTTTTATACTTGGGACCATTATACAATAAATATCTGACTTTCTTGTGCTCTGACAGAGGTTTGTGTTCACAATAGTGGCAGCCAGTACCTCCTATCAGGATACAGTGATGCTCTGAAGTGGGGTGGAGAAAGGAAAGAGAAATCTTCAAAGTGCGAGACATTTTATTAAGGAAAGGCTAAGAATATCACATCTCTGTCAAGTGTTTAGTCACACAAATTATAGTAATATCAAAAGCTATAATTTATGCAGCACAATTCTCTTAATTGGCACAGACTCTGGTGGAGCCAGAAAGGTGCCACTTGAGCAATTGTCCTGATTATCAGAGACTCATAGGAATACACTTTTTGAATCTACATAAGAGGTGGAAGAAAACTAGTAGGTCAGCATCTTTATCCTCCTCTGTCAATGCAGGATAATTCCCTGCAGTCTTCTTTCTATCTCTAAATTACTCATATGATAAGGCTTATGCCACTTTCCTTGAAGATTAGTTCCCAGTCTTAATAGATTTCATTGTTAATTCACTATAAAGTGTCCTCTGCTTAATTTCCTCACTTTTCTCTGATTTACATATAACCCCTTATTGCTCTGAAATTAAGCCCTCTCTTTCTCTTCAATGTTCCTAGCTTTTGGATCTTAATATGGCTCATGGATCTTAATGTGACCTGTTCACCCATCATTTTTCCATCCAAAACACTAGGCAGTCGATGTCTAAGAAATGGTCGCTGGTGGTTCTGGGCCCCATTTTTTTGGTGATTGATCTACTGTAACTTGAGGGGCCTCATTAAGCCCTTTTAAGTTGTTTGGGAGCCATTCACCTCAAAACTGGGGAGCTCGGGATAGCTGGTTGTGCAGAAAATGTTGCTTAACTCTCAGTCCTGATGAGTGCTTACTCCTTCGGTTGACACAGGTCGGAGGTGTGGGTGATGAACAGGACTCTGGACTCTGCCACCCCTTCCACTGCCAAAGAGACTGTAGCTCTAACAGGGAAAATTCATTTTCTGGAATTTCTGAAAAAAAAATAAGTGTTAACACTGTTGGCTTCAGCATGGCTCATTTAGGAGCCATAATGATGAGTAGAAGCAATGGAGAGAGAGGCTGTAGCCCAGGACTTTGCCCACCATCAAGTCAGAGTAGTAAAACTTCTTTTACAGACCACACTGTTTGCATGGATGAGGGATGCCGTTTTCCACACAGCTAGCAATCAAGTGTGAAATTTCCTCTCTGGCAGTCATCCCAGTTAAATTAATCTGATATTTATCAGGAGGTAGAATTACTTTAAAGAAAAAAATTGTGCAGCTCTGCTTCCAGTGAGAAGAAAGACATTGCTAGAACCAAATGCTTTTGTTTCTTCGTGAAAGATGCCTCGTCTGGGTGAAGCACTTTTAGTCACTCCAGATGTGCTGCTGTTCATCTCATCTGGAGTAACTGGAGGAGGAGGGTGGAAGCGCAGAGCATTGCAGTCCATCTTCCCACCGCAAACCAAAGGGACGAAGCCTGTAATTGTATGGAGGGTTGTTTCAAAATGCTGTTAATCAGGGTTCTCTGCTAACTCTGTATAAGCAAAACACTCCTGATGTGGTGTGGTCAAGTCCTGCTGATAAAGAACCTGGTCAGAACAAGTTGGTTTCTTCGCAGACTGCTTTTTCCCAGTGGCCAGCTTGCATGGCTGCAGGTCAAATGGGTCCCACTCTACCAGCTTCAGATACCCACAGCAGAAGCACAGATGTCAAGGAGAGTGGGCAGAGAGGTTTTCAGGAGCACAGAGCTGTAGTACTTGCCAGTAGCAGGCTGCATGCGAGTCCGTTTGACTGTGCAACCCTTGTGCTAAAGTGATCCTGACGCCAAAGTCGTGTTTCTTTGTTTTCAGTCCCATTTGGTGAAGTGCCGAGCTGCATGCACTTGCCGTCGTTGTCAGTGTCATATAATACCAACGACTTTCGGAAAGCACTAATGAACAAGTGCAATTTCTTTTCTCTATTGTTGGGTTTTTTGTAAAGTTGCTCAAATGCTCTCAGGTATGGCGGCCCTGAACGGAGGACTCGGCGCAACAGGCTTGACGAACGGTACGGCCGGCACGATGGACGCGCTCACCCAGGCCTACTCAGGAATCCAGCAGTACGCTGCCGCCGCGCTGCCCACGTTGTACAGCCAGAGCTTGTTGCAGCAGCAAAGCGCTGCAGGCAGCCAGAAGGAAGGTAAGCACCCGAGCAAACGACCTACAACCCAACAAAAGCGATGTCGTGGGTTTGTTTCTTCACAGAGGCTTAAAGAAGGCCCTCGAGTAGCCTAATCTTTGATTTTTATTTTTTTCTTTTCCATTTTCTCCTGTTGAGTATGGTTACTTTCTTTAATCTCTCGTAATTTATTTGAATTTGTGGTGGGAAAGCTGCCCAGCAGAAAAGGATGTGGGGCTGTTGGTCAGCAGCCGGCTAAATATGAGCCAGCAGTGTGCTCAGGTG